GTGATTTGGACAAGTCATATAAATTTTCTATTCTTTAGTGTATTCATCTGAAAAACAGAGGTAATAAAAGCACCCACCTCATAGGACTTTCACTAAGATTAAATGAGGTAATGTATGTGAAGCACTAAGAACAGTGCCCATGCATATAGTAAGCATTATATAAATATTAGCTACAATACAGCCAATGTAGTGAGTGTATAGGCAATGTATATAGGAACAACCTCTAAGGAAGGCAATTTAGCAATAAATTTCATAATGAAAACTGCAAATATACTTTAACTTAGAAATTCCACTTCTGTAAATTTATCCCATAAATACCCTTGAACACATGTAAAACAGCATGTCCAAAGGTCTTCAATACAACATTGCTTGTAACATTTGAAAACTGAAACATAAATATCCATAATGAAGAACTAGTTAAATAAACTATGATACATCCATTCCATGGAAATCTATTGGATACTATACAAGTATTTAAAAACAAATAAAAAAGAATGAGGAAGCTTTCTATGCACTGACCTGGAAAAGTCTCTAAGATATATTAAGTGAAAAGTCAAGACTGCAGATGGAGAGCAATGCAAAACAGTGGGGAACCATAGGATTTTGCATGAAAAATGGGACAAATAAAATTATATACCCATGTTTGTAAGCATTTGCCTCAAGAAAGTCTAAAAGAATGTAAAGATAGGGGATGTTGATGCATTTTTAGCTAAAAGTGGCAGAGCACTTATCAAGCATGCAAGAGGCCCTGAGTTCAATCCCCAACAATGGAAAGAAAGATCACTGCAAGAGGACAAGGAACGGGGCAGATGGGGGAAAAGCATGGGATGAAACTTTCAATATTTTTCTTTTGATCATACTGCCTTTCTAAAATATTAAAGAATGCCTGGAATGACGATACGTGCCTATAATCCCAGCAACTTGTGAAGGTGAGGCAGGAGAATCACCAGTTCAGTTCAACCAGCCTCAGCAACACAGCAAAACCCTGTCTCAAAATAAAACTTATTGACTGATTGATTGATTTGGTATTAGAGACTGAACCTAGGGGCCTTTACCACTGAGTTATATTCCCAGCCCTTTTAATTTTTGAGACAGGGTCTTGCTAAATTGCTGAGGATGACCTTGAACTTGTGATTCCCCTGCCTCAGTCTCCCAAGGCATGGAAATTACAGGTATGCACCACCACGTCAGGCAATTTTTTGTGTGTGGTACTGGGGATCAAACCCAGGGCCTCATTGTGCAAGGCAGGCACACTACCACTGAGCTATATTCCCAATCCTCAAAATAAAAAAAAAAAAAAAGAACTGGGGATGTAACTCAGTGGTAAGACATCCCTAGGTTCCATCCCCAGTATCACAAAAAAAACTAAAAGAAAATAAAATGTTCAGGAATGGAAGATTTAAAAATTCTAAGTTGGCTTTTCTCTGAAACAACCACTCCCTGGTTGCTCAGCAAAAATAACACAAGTGAGACTACACTGAAGTCATTTCCATTTGATGACTTGGGAAACAGTATAATACCCATTGTTGGTCCACAACATTTCACCATCACCCACACAATACAACATAAAAATTGGGTTTCATCAACTAGAAAGAGATGAAATTCCGGGCTGGGGTTGTAGCTTAGCGGTAAAGCACTCCTCTCGCACATGTGAGACCCTGGGTTCGATCCTCAGCACCACATAAAAATAAATAAGTGAAATAAAGGTATTGTGTCCAACTACAACTAAAAAATAAATATTAAAAAAAAATTTAAAAAAAAGATGAAATTCCCATAAAAGTCCTTATCATGGATTTCAAATTCAGGGCTGGGGTTGTGGCTCAGCCATAGAATGCTCACCTAACATGTGTGAGACACTGGGTTCAATCCTCAGCACCACATAAAAATAAACAAACAAAATAAAGGTATTGTGTCCGACTACAACTAAAAAAAAAAAAAATAAAGATTTCAATATATCCATAAACACTGTTACACAGGAGGAAAACACTAAAAATAAGTCAACTTTCATTCTAAATAAGCAAGGGAATGAGCACATGTGTTTGTTTTACAATTAAATAAAACTAGCCAGGGGCTGGGGATATAACTCAGTTGGCAGAGTGTTTGCCCCGAATGCACAAGGCCCTGGGTTCAATCTCCAGCACCACACACACACACACACAAAAAAAAAAAAAAAAAAAAGGTTGACTTTGGGCCTGGGGTTGTGGTTCAGTGGCAGAGCATTCGCCTAGCGTGTGTGAGGTCCTGGGTTCAATCCTTAGCACCACATAAAGATAAATAAATAAAGGTATTTTGTGTGTGTGTGTATAAAAAAACAAACTAGCCAGGCATGGTGGTACACACCTATAATCCCAACAACTCTGGAAGCTAAACCAGGAGGATCACAAGTTGAAGGTCACCCTCAGCAACTTAAGCTGAACTGAGGATGAAGCTCGGTGGTAGAGCACCTGTGGGTTCAATTCTCAAAATAGGAAAAAAAATTAAAAAGGACAAAAAGAAATGCCCAACGTTAGGTTCTAGGTAAACTTACCCAACAACCTACATTTCACCCACATTAAAAAGATATACATGTCATAATCTGAAACACAGATTTCACAAATAGGTAGACCTTGTTCAAATTCTTGTCTACAGGTAACCATATTTTTGCAAGTGTTCTACCACTGAGGCACAGGCTATAGGGATATATACAACTTTTTTTTTTTTTTTTTTAAGGCACGGAGGATTGAACCCAAGGGCTCTACCAGTGAATTACTTAGCTAGTCCTTTTTATTGGGAGACAAGGTCTCACTAATTTGCTGAGGCTGGTCTTGAACTTAAGATCTTTCTGCCTCAGTTTTCCAAGTCTCTGAGATCACAGGTGTCCACTATCATACCCAGCTCTACAAACCATCTTTATGGTACATGGCATATAGCAAATTCTCAATAAAAACTAGTCTCACTACCAGTAGCTCTCCTTCACAACCATTTTTTTTTTTTTTTGAACGGAGGACATTAACCTTTGAGCCTTATCCCCAGCCCTTTTCATTTTGAGAAAGAGTCTCACTAGGTTGCTTACAGCTTTGCTGAATTGGTGAGTCTGGCTTTGAACCTGCAATCCTCCTGCCTCAGTCTCCAGAACTGCTAGGATTATAGGCATGCACCACCATGCCTGGCTATAACCACTATTAAAAGAGTAATTTTACCCATTTATTCCTCAAACAAGAGGAATCAGATGATATATCATGACCTGACTACTGACATCCTTGCCACACTATCAAAACTGCCTTTCAAAGGAAACAAGTAACTTCCTAATTGCTAAATTTGGTGGCTTCTAATTTTTATTCCACTTGACCTCTGTAGCACCTGACACTGATGGTCATTCTCTTCCCGCTTGAAACTTTCTTCCTTTGACTTCTATAATAATGCCATTCTGTTTAATTTCTTGTCCCATTCCTTTACTTTCTCTTTTTCAATGTCTATTATCCTTCAAACAATGGTGCTGCTTCTGGTTCATGGCCCTTTTTTCCTCTTCTTTCAGTATTAACATTCCATACTAAGGCTTCAAATATCAATAGTCTCTCTTTTTTAATTTTTTTTTAGTTGTAGATGGACACAATACCTTGATTTTACTTACTTATTTTTATGTAGTACTGAGAATAGAATCCAGTGCTTCACATGTGCTAAGCAAGCGCTCTGCCACTGAGCTATAACTCCAGCCCAATATAGTCTCTTGATTCTTAAATTTGTATTCAGTTCCAACCTTTCTCCCAACTTGTGTGTATGGAAACAAATACACACACCTCAAACAACTCATCCAAAACCAAAAACCAATTCACTGCCTTCACTCAAAGGTTTTTATTTATTTATTTTTTTTTTAAATAGCAATACTTGGTATTGAACCCATGGCACTCCACCCAGTGAGCAAATTCACCATTCCTTTTTTTATTTTTTTTTTTTTTTTTTTTTGAGACAGGGTCTCATTAAATTGCTGAGGCCTGGAACCTGTGATCTCTGGCCTCAGTCTCCCAAGTTGCTGGATTATAGGTGAGCAGCACCTCACCCAGCTAGACTTGCTTCTTTATAGTCTCTATTTCTATTAAGGACACCAATTCATACCATAAGCCACACCAGAACTTCACTCCCTCGCCAAAAAAGACCCCTCTCAACTCTATTTTGAAACCTCTTGGTATTGGGTGGTATTCTCATTTTCCTCACACCAGCCAGTTTATCCTCTCCCATCAGATTAGCACATTAGTTTTCTGCCTAGGCCTTCTGTCTTCACTTTGAATACTTCCTGCACAATTTTCACCAGAGATAATTCAATCACATCAAACTTCTGGTCACAAACCTTCAATATGTCACATGCCTACAGAAAGTCCCAATTCTTTAGCGAGTTTTTCTCGGAGGTATAAATTGAAAGGCTTTTTAATTGGACAACCCCAGCTTTCATTTCTGGCTAACTCTGAATAGTGTCTTACTCCAAAGTCTTCAAAGTGAAGGGTAAAAAGCAGAGGAGGGAAAAGGAGAGCAAAGACGACAAGGGAGAAAGAGGGTGACAATGGTATCTGAGGGGAGGGAAGTATCTTTCGAAGGCAGAAGTGGACGATTTCGAGGGAAGAGCATGTTTGAGGGAAGTACAGTGAAGCAGTCCAGACTTGATACACGAATGGGTTCTAAGGGAGGCTCCCACTGCGGAGCTGGAGGTTTCACAAACAGTTTTCCAAGAACTGAAGGATTCCTGAATCTTAAAATTGAGGAAGGTCTCTGACATGCGATGATTTCTAATGGGTTCCCGGCCTCTGATAAGAGAAGGGGTGCCGGTCCCGAGAACCTGGGAGAGGCGAGAATAGAAAGAGAAGGGACCAAGAGGGGGAGTGTTCTGTGTGGAGGACTTCTGGGAAGCCACCGAGTCCTGTTGGGTGCTAAGCGACCCGTGAGCCAATACTCGGGGGCCGAGGAGTGGTAGCACCCGCGCGCGGGCCGGGAAGTCCCGGGTTCCTGTCTCACGCATCTCCTGACTTTACCTGAGGCGGACTGAGCAGCCGAAGGGTATCTGCACGGGCGGGAGGGGGAGGCAGCGTCCAAGACCGAGCATAGTAGTCCTCACAATTCCGTCGAGGCAGCGGCTTTTTAGCCCGCGGAGGCGGTGGGGGTCCTTCGCGCAGTTGCGGGCTTCTCCGCTGAACTAGCGGCGGCGGAGGACGAGAAGGCTACTGCCATGGCCCCGAAGTCGGGGCGTCTACCCGCGCCTATTTGGCGGGGCCAGGACGACCCAAAAAGCGAGACCCATAGGGCAGCTGGAAGCTCCACCGAGCTCTCCAGCCGCGAGCGACTGAACCGCCTGGGGCACGGGGTTGGGGGAGGTGCCTGGGCTGGCCACGCCCCTCTACTCGGGGCCCCCCCTCAGAGCAGCCAATCAACCGCCAATCCTTAATAATGGAGCTAGTGGAATTGCCCAATTAGCGTTAGGAATGCCACGTGGTATGAGGGCGGGCACAATGGGCATCCAGAGAAGCCAATCAACAGCCCTAGGCGCCAACTCTTGGAGGACGAAGGGAACCAATAGAAAGGAAATGGAGGTAAAAACAGAAGAGGCAGTGTGTTGGAAAGGCGGAACCCAAGAGGGGAGAATATACCTGGGGGAAATCCAAGTCCAAGAGCCTCTGGGGCGGGACAGTAAAAACAAGATGGGCCAATCAAAATGCTAAAAAGACAGAAGAGACGGTAATCGATAAAGCTAATTGAAAAGGAACTTTAATGGCTCGGCTTTGGGGTTGGCAGAGAAAGGAAAAGTTTTATGAACGTGACGTCCTACAGGATCTAAGTATAGTAAGAAGGAAAAAATGATGCATAGGTTAGCATTAGCGAATTAAGATAGTAAGAGAAATTAGTAGAGCTAAACAAAAAAAACTGAAAAGAAAATTCATCTATACTAAAAGATTGGATTCGGTGAAGGCTTAGAGCAGGTAATAATGGAAAGAGGCTGAACGTGGGTTGGGTTTAAATTCCTAATTTGTCCTTTGTTTTTTATGCTGTGAGAGCTATTCTTGAACAGTAGTGTGATCTGAACAGGGCATTGTTTTAGTAAGATTAATTAGTAGCTCACAGAATCTGAAAAGAAAAAAAGATCACCCCAATTCAGTGCTTCTAGCCCAAAACCGTCTCAGTATCATTCTCCTGGCAACAAATCATGTGCTGCCACCTGGTGACAGTTCACATACCACTGTTCCACATTGTTATTTAATATTTCTGTTGTGAGAAAATAGGCAACTTTACAAGCCTGTCTCCTACAGAGCTTGATGCATAGAGTATTGGTAGCAATCAGAGTTAATGTAATCATGCCAGATAAATCACCTGCCAGTGAAAGATGTAAAGGTCAGGGATTCTTTGCATTTGCTTCAGCAGGAAGGTGAGGCTTGATGGGAAGTTTTTGTTTTTTTAATTTGGGTCTGCTGAGTCTGAGTCAAGTTTATCTCTATCACTTTGCTCTCAGCAATTCCTCCATGCTGAGAGGAAAAAACTGAGGACCACTGACCTGTAATTATTCAAATGTCCAAGGCCCTCTCCCTGTTGACCTGTCTGCTAGTTAGGCCAAAGCCATGAATGTACATATAACTGAAGTAGTTCTGTCCTACATGCTTCATTTTTTTTTTTTTTTTTGATGGTGGGGGGGGAGGGACTGGTGATTGAAACGAGGTGGGGGAGCTTTACCATTGAGCAACATCCTCAGCTTTATTCATTTGTTTGTTTGTTTGTTTATTTACTTATTTATTTGAGACAGGGTCTTACTAAGTTGCTGAGGGCCTTGTTAAGTTTCTGAGGCTGGCCTCCAACTCATGATTCTCCTGCTTTGACCTCCCAAGTTGCTGGGATTATAGATGTACATTACATGATGGGCTTACCTCAGCCTTTTATTATACTTTTATATCAGTAATTATCTCCTCTCTCAACCTACACTGGGATAAGAGTTGAGACCTTTCCATAAACCCACTGCACATTTTAGCTTAGGGAAATACATAATGAAGCTGCTCTCAAAAAACATCCACCAAGCATGGTGGCACACACCTGTAATCCCAGCAATTTAGGAGGTTGAGGCAGGAAGATTACAAGCAAAGCCAATCTCAGCAACTGAGCGAGGCCCCAAGAAACTTAGAAAGAGCTTGTCTCAAAATAAAAGCACTGGGGAAGTGGCTTAGTGGTTAAACACCCCTGGGCTCAATCCCTAGTATCAAAAAAAAAAAAAAAAATCCACTTGGGGTAAGAATAACATTGTCTTTTGCCTACATTTAGGAATGGAAGAGGCTTTGATGAGGTGCCACTGATTCTTAGGAAACCTTGGACTATACTATCTAAAACATAAAGCCCAGGTAATAAAAAAGTAAAGTTGCCCTTAGTCACCTAGGAAAATATATTTTACAGAGAGCAACCATACAGCAGAAGGACCAGAATCATTATCCACAAGAAATTTTGTTTTATTTTTATTTGATTTGATTTTTTTGAGACAGGATCTTGCTATATTGCCTTTATTGTGCAAGCTGGCCACCTGCCTTAGCCTCCTGAGAAACTGGGCCTATACATGCACACCACAAGGCCCAGCAACAAGGCACTTTTTAAAAAAAGAAACCTATTCAAAATGGGCTAGAGTATAATCCAGTAGGATAGTGTTTATTTAAAATGCATGAGGGGGGCTGGGGATGTGGCTCAAGCGGTAGCACGCTCGCCTGCCATGCGTGTGGCCCGGGTTCGATCCTCAGCACCACATACAAAGATGTTGTGTCCGCCAAAAACTAAAAAGTAAATATTACAAAAAAATTATCTCGCGCACACATGCCCTCTCTCTCTCTCTCTCTCTCTCAAAAAAATAAATAAATAAATAAATAATAATAAAATTTAAAAAAATAAAATGCATGAGGCTTGAACCCCAGAACCATAAAAATAAATAAATAAATAATGTGTAAAAAATATTGAATCATAAAATTTTTGTTTCAGTTAATAAATATGCACATGTATATTTACTAGGTCACAATGTAAACTATTTCTTACTTGACGTCCAATCAAAATATTCTGTAGGCCACTAACTTAGTCAAATTGACAGACCAGGAAGAAGAAGGCCATTGAAGAAATAAAGTCTGGAGGGGCTGGGGATGTGGCTCAAGCGGTAGCGTGCTCGCCTGGCATGCATGTGGCTCAGGTTCGATCCTCAGCACCACATACAAACAAAGATGTTGTGTCCACCGAAAACTAAAAAATAAATATATATAAAAAAAAAGAAGAAATGCAGTCTGGAATGCTGAGGATAAGGTGAAAGCCTCAAGAAGCAGATACTGCCCAGACATGGTACTGCAACCTATAATCCCAGTGCCTTGGGAAGCTGAAGCAGGGGGATCACAATTTTTAGGCTAGTCTCAGCAACTTCATGACACCCTGTCTCAAAATAAAAACTAAAAAGGACTACAGATGTAGCTTAGTGTTAAAGTAGTACCCTAGGTTCACTCCCCAGTACCAAAAAGAAAGAGAAGAAAAAGAAGCAGCAGCAGCAGATACAGGTCCATGGCCCACCAGAATATCACCCTCCTCTGCAACCCCATAGCACTACTGCCCCAGGGCAGTGTCCTTTCTCTTTCTGCTCACCAGAATGAGAGTTTCCATGTCCTTCCAGTTCACCTCAGTTTGTACTCAGAAAGTATAGCTATAACATCTGTGAACTCAGATTTCAGAGGAAAAGGTCACAGAAAACAACTAACAGAAAGAAGAAAGGGTATTGCTGAGTCTATCCCATGTGGGTACTGATTCACATAAAACACATCAGGGAGAGTTAAACCATTTTATTGACGTTAGGGACAGGGACAGGTAGACAGTGAGGAGCCTCACTAGAAATGTCAGATACAACTAGATCGAGAGGGGATTGGCAGGCTGCCCAGAACAAGAGGGGAGGATGGGCAAAAAAAGCCTTCATCTCACTATTCTCAAAAAAGTCATTACAAGTCACTCAGAAGTATCTTGGGACCCTGAAGGGATAGGTTCACTTGCTCAAGATTCCCTGAGCATGGAGTTGAGAGATGCTCAGCATCAGGTTGAAAATGATGCTCCTCTGGAGATTTAGGAGAAAGGAAAAGAGAAGAGAAAAACAAATCAGCAAGCACTGTTATGTACACAGAACTAAGTCCTGGGCCTGTCTGATGGAAAGGGACATACAGGACTGATTTGAGATAAAACAGAAGTTGATGGATTCACAAAGAAAAAGGCAGATTTGATTTTACCCAGTGCCAAACATCCAGGCACCCTTCAGATTCAGCCAACCCCAGAAGTAGGATCCCTTCCCTCACCCTTACCTAATTTCCTTAAAAGTTCCCAGTTACTGTTACTGTCTAGAAGACTGACTTCAGAGCTAGCTGAACAAAGAGACTTGGTGAAGGTGAAGGCCAGGGGCAGCTTAGATTGGAAGACATCAAAGGAAGTCCTGGAAAGAAGAACAGAATCAGAGACAGAGGTGATATAATCCTCCCAGCACAGAACTATCCTACTTCCTAAGGCCAGCACTTCATAATCCTCCCCTTTTATTTTTTTTAAGTTTTTTTTTAATACCTTTATTTTATTTACTTATTTTTATGTGGTGCTGTGGATCAAACCCAGGGCCTTGCACATGCCAGGCGAGCACTCTACCGCTGAGCCACAACCCCAACCCGATCCTCCCCCTTTATTATCCAAATATATAAAGATATATTACACCAGGCTGGGGTTGTGACTCAGTGGTAGAGCACTCGTCTAGCACGTGCGAGGCCCTGGGTTCGATCCTCAGCACCACATAAAAATAAGTAAATAAAATAAAGGTATTATGTCCAACTACTTCTAAAAAAATTAATTAATTAAAAAAAAGGTATCTCACTGCTCTGTATCAAATAAAGAATGCCTTATGGGCTGCAACCCAAAAACTCAGTCTGCCCCCACCAGTCCTGGTCAAATTTAGAATAACTGAACTTGGCCCCAATGCCTGACCTCTGTGAGACAAATCCCCTCCACTGCCACAGCACCCACACCACCTGACCTGAGGAAATTATGCTCCTGCTGGGCATCCTGGGACTCTGTCCTGGCAGCCTCCAGGGTGTGACTCTTGTTCTCCTGCCCACTTTGCAGCTTTTCCAACATCTGCTAGACCATGGGCCCAGTTAGGACCAAACTTTCTTCCTCCAGAAAGAAACCCCTTCCCCACAATTGGCTTCTTTAGCACACTTGGAACCTTCATATAAGCAAGGACAGTTTCTCGTGGCTTATAGCAAAAGAACTGGAAAGAAGAGCTCTGGAGAAAGTGGAATCAGCACAGCAAAAAAAAAAAGAGATAAAGATGC